AAGATAACGTGAGGCGCTATAGGCTTCGTAATTGGGGTCCCAGCTGCGCACGTGCTGACTGACGGACACCTGTTATTGCAGGCTCACATGAGTCATACTTAGAGGTCCGGGCTTTCGGTAAATAGCGATAAACCCAGAAAATAACTCCCCATTCAGTTTTATCGAAATAGGAGTGAACTGAAAATCACAAAATTGAAGCTGTCTTCGATTAATAAAAAAACAAACAAAAAAAAAACATATTTCACGTAAAGAATTTATTTGCCTAGATTTGTGCTTTAAGTTGACCCGGAAGAAAGCCCCAATGAACTGTCAGCGAGGCTCCTTTGTGCTTCGGAACATCTTATCTTGTTTCCTTCTCTTAATGGTGCGAGAACGTTTTCCAAGTAATTGAGACATAGGATAATACCTATAGATTGCGGAATCCTGTGTACTATTTTCTTGAACATAAACCCCGATTGACTTCTGAGACACGAAACATTTATACTGAACAACACCAAGAACAAAACCAAAACTAAACCAAGAGACGCTATTGAAGAAAAAGAAGAGCTGACTTCGTGCCAAGAGCTGCTTTGGTCACCCCTCCTAAGGGTGACCAGAGCAGCTCTGGGCACCAAGTCAGCTCTCTTTTTCGTCCAATAGCGTTTCTTGGCTTTGATCATCGTTAGGGGCGTGTCTCTCCACAGCGTCATGTCTTTTCCAGAAGCTTCCTACCTCCATGCAAAAATGCAAATGCTAAATTCATGTGGGACCGATTTTCTGGGGATGTTTAGGGCCCATCGATTGAGTTATGACCATAAACAGACCATCGCAAAAAATGGTTTAGTGTCCCTTTAAAAAAAATAGTACCAATATATCCTTCTGTGTTGTGAAATGGACATTCCCATTACATTCCAATTCCATTTTGGGAAATTAGAGTTTCTGACAATTCCATTCCTTCCTACTCCTCGAAATGGCTGAACTTCACCATTCCATCCCTCTAATTCCTAAATGTGAAAGAATGGCCATTGACAGCCACAATGTGCAACTGAAAAAAAGCAGCATAACGCTGCTAACGCTATCAAACGCAGAGATGACCACAAAAGTACACAAACGCATCCTCAAAGCACTTATTCTGCTAAGCCAAAGTGCGGTCGCATAAAGCACTTCGTGGCGATTTCTCGTCACTGCAGACACCGATCGCGCGATCAATCGTAAAAAGCTTCAGAGTCCCAAAAGACGCCAAAAATGGAAACCACCCATTTTCTTCGCAAACGGACCGTGTATACCCTCCACAGATACATGGCTAGCGTGTTGCTTTGTTTGACCTCAAAAATGTCTAGTTCGTGCGAGGTGCAAGAAGAAGCTTGATCTCTGCTTCGAATACTTCGCAACGGCACCGCTAGTGCGCTGTAAGAAGCGATGCCGCGTATGCCTGCCCCGAATCTCCATGCACTGCAGCAAGAACAAAAGACCACTGACAACGCGCAATCAGTATTGGCAACCGGCGGACTCTTCCTATACCTCCCATTGGGACTCCAATTGCAGACTGCAGCGCCGAATCTCCCCTTACGGGCGTTGGGTTTCTCCAAAACGAATAAAATATCAAACATACGGGCGCCGTTGTCATGGCAACCGTTATGCTAGGGGAGAGGGTGTGAAGAGCGTTGTCCCTTCTCTCTTTTTTTTCTTTCTCCTCTCTCTCACCCTTTTTTGAAAAACTAAATGAAAAAGAAAACGGAGACAACGGACGAAGGGAATGAACACAAAACGTCTCAATAATTGAGACGTTTTGTGTTCGCCCCCTTCTTCGTCCATCGTTTCCGTTTTTTTTCTTTGTGTGTGTTTTTTTTATGCAACATTAATTAGCACGCCTGTTTACTTACTCTTTCCTCGTGTGCTTACCTCTTTTTTGCAAATCTCCGACGCTTCCGCAACGCTTGCATTTGACTTTACGGCTCGGTAACAGCAGTAACAGTGCATGCGCGGTGATAGCCACTTCAAATAATTAATTAAATTGTGTAAATGAATGCAAAGTGCGCCCAACCGCCGATGTTTCGCGGCTTAAGCTGGGCGACCTTTGTAGCACAAGTTCAAACTTTTTTTGCAAATTCTCTTTTTATTAGGCACTCTTTATACAGAAAAAAAGTCACTTCAAGACACAACAATTAAATGAATAAAATCTACACGAAAGTGATTCGACCAGCACGGTCGCGCCGAATTTAAAAATAAAAAAAATAAAAACAATATTTTGGCGCAGATTCGGAGCATAGGTTGTTTAGCTCCCCTCCATTACGGCCTGTGAATAGCCCAGTGCTTGATTTAAAACCCCACATTCAATCCGCGACCGCTGGCATGCAGAGAGTTGCTGTGGATCCTAATTCTGGAGCTTTCCCATCTTTCTCCTCATGCTGGATTTTCTGTCGCGTGGTTTTCTCAGTACTTTGTTTACATCCCTAATGTGCCAGATTAGACGGGTTTGGCAGAACAGAATCAGCAATTCTTTGCGGCGGCCTTCTGAGCAAAACAAGTTTGTAGGTAGGCTACACTCCAGTTTTTCTTGAAGCACACTGCCTACACCCCGCATGTGTGCTACAATTCCGACATGTTCTAGAAAACATTTTTCCATCTCCCTGACGGCCTCAAAAAACCCTGCAGAGGAAGGGGTCAGGTCAGCAAAGAGCCCCCCTGGCTTTCCATGAGCTTGAAGCATGGCTAAAGTCTGATGGGACCCTGTGAACGCACCACCCCGTTCCTTCAAAAGTCGCCCACAGGCACAGTCTGTAGGGCGGCTCTTGAGGAATCGCTGCACGAGGTTCCCTGCAAAGCAGTACAGCACGTTCTCCTCCATGATGTCTGGGAGGTCTTCACCCGACATCTCACCAGTTGGAACAACTACTTCCTGAATGTCTAGTGCCTGCGCAGGGTCACCCTGCGACAGGCGTGCTAGCATGTACGAGTCATGCACTTCGCAGTTCCCGCGAGACGTCAGAGTGAACAGTTTCCCAACAGAAACGTGCTTCAGTGCAGCAATGAACTGCAGCACATTAGGATGTTCATTGGAGCCATGCTTCATTCTCAAAGACCCGAAAAGATTCTCAAGAGGGTCTTGCTGCGGGTGGCGTGTCAGGAGCCAAATGAAGTTAAAATTTTGGGAGAGGTCCTCCCACAGCATGAGGACAGCCCTAATGGTGACAAGCCATCCACGAATCGTGTGCGGCTGTCTGGGGCTGTCAAATCTCCAGCTTGCAATCCATTTGACTGCCTCTTGCGAAAATTCCAAGTGCTCAGAATTGGCACTTGTAGCGTAGTTCATTTTGCCATTCACAACAGTGGAGCTGTTGCTGTTGAGGCAGTCAAACAGTTTATCCATTCTTTCTATGAAGTCTGCTGCAGATTTGGCAGTCCCAGGCAGTGCCCCAATCGAAATCATGAATAGCATTGCCAGTGACACAGTGTCGCTCAAGGACCTGTGTGGCAAACCTTACCTTCATGCTGTTGAAGGGCCTCTTATAAATGTGGTCATCTGTCAATTTCCTTGCCAACCTCTGTCTGAGGGGATTAGAGGATTCATATAAATCACGAACGTATTGCCAATCTACAATTTCAGGATGTGCTTCTTTGCCAATGAAAAGCTTGTGAGGGGCACGCAGGTTATTTCTCGTGCACTTTATTAAGTGCGGAGTGTCAAAGAAGAAATACACCTTGTGCCCATCAACTTCAAAAAATGGCTCTTCCTGAGTCACTTCCAATTGCTCTGATAATTTGACATTACTTGAGCCCTGATCACACACTACCGCTTTCACATACAGCTGAATCTCACTCAGCTGTCTGATTAAGGTCTGCAGCAATTCCCTCATCTTTTCAGCTCGCAGCGTCGTTTTTGCCACTGCGAACGCCAAGGGCTGCACCCAGGGCTTTGAGATTCCAGAAAGGAGGGCAACAAAGGCTGTGTTTGCCACCTCCGTTGTCCTCTCTAAGCAGTCGTCTGAGAAACCAATGACCACATCATTTCCTTTGTCATACCGCAAATTTGGTCGCAGAGACATCTCATCAAACATAATAATGCATGCCCGATCTTCTAATGGCCAATCTTTAACAGTGTCTTTGAGGACATCAAACACTCCAGAAATAATTCCAGGTGTCATTGGCACCTCAGACAATCACCTTCGAAGGGACCTCGGAGTCGGCAAAGCCAGCACTTTGGACAGAAACCGATATGCCTTGGGACCATGAAAATACATGCTCGAGGCAAATTCCCTCAGTTCCTGTGGCCACCTCCTTCCCTTCTTCTTGCGACCCTGGAGCAGAACCTGACCCTCCAAAAGCGTGTAGAACTCAGCGCTCACAATTGACCGCAACGTCTGCAGTGCAGCCTTTTTGGTGGGCTTTCGGGTCCTCGACAATACCTTCCGGTACTTTTGGGCGTCACCCTTCCATTTTGAAACAATTGTCGCTGTCTGCGGTGTGAAGAGCTTTCTTTTCCTCCCGCGACGAAGAGGGCAAGAACCTGCATAGATTAATGCACACCACACGTTTATACCATACATGTGGTAACAAATACTAGAGATATTCCATCAAATAAGAACAATGGCAAGTAGATCAGAATATTTACTAAAAATCATTTACATACAGTGCAATCACCATAATGCAAATTTTCTTCAATCAAACTTCCAGTTAATTTCAACTAAGATTCTGGTCCGGGCAAATTTGTAAGTAGTTAAAATAAAAAAAAAACGTTAATTGGGCTTATGAAAAATTTAACAGATAATTCAAACATGATTGTCCACTGGCGCATACTGCTTCTCTCAAAAACGTAACCGAAAAAAAAGCAAGTTCGATATCTGTCACCATAGCATTGCATTACATTAATCCATACAAAACTAAGACAGAGAAATAAGAAGGAACTGACGTGTGGTCCAAGCACTCAAGCACACAGCAAGGGCGTGGAGTTTCTATTTCTTCAGAGATAACCACTTGTGCTAGGCAAATGTTACTATATAAAAAACATGACATACCAGAGGGTCCAGGCTGAGGCGTTGAAGGAGAACCAGTGGTCTGCTCTCCACCTTGTGGGAAGCTGGTTGTAGGTGTACTGGAAAGGGCAGGGGTGTCACCGGTGCCTGTTAAAAAACGGAGGGCTTCAAAACCGTTTCATTACGCTGATAATTAATGCAATAAAATGCACTATGTGCATACCTTGAGGCAGGTTTTGACCCTCTGCACCTCTCATAACCTCCGAAGGGGCATCAGTGTCAAGGTCGGTGGGGCTAGCAGATCCTGCCTCTTGAGCACATCCTCCAAGGTCCCCAGAGTCATTGTCGTCTACTTGCAAGGCCTCTGAAGTAAACAAAGAGCAGTGTGATATTAGTAATGGGTAGATAAAATAAACAAAAGCAACGCTCAAGTTTGAAGCAGCTGATTAGAAAAAGAAAATTTTTGATCATTAACTTGAGGGCCTGGGCAATGTAACAATTTTTGTACTGTCAGTAAATGCTACCTGGAATTATTTCTTGATATTTGACCTATATAAAATATGCATTACATTTTTTGGTCTTAATTGTTTTTTACACGCAATAAGTTGCAAAAGATAATATTATTACGAGGATAAAGAAGAGGTGGTCGGGCAGTGATTTGGAGGAGAGAAGAAGAAGAGGATCGGTAGTTTTGCTTTGCTGGCAACGGATGCTGTCACCTCTATTTTCTACCATCTCAATCTCCTGCAAATAAACCCCATTTTCACCGTAACACCTTTTGGTGGAGGTGCGGGGTAACAGTGGTTGTCGACCTGGACCTGCGAAACCGACGTCTCCCACCTCCGCCCAGTATGGCCAGTGCGTCCGGCACCCCACCCGAAGGCGGAGCTTCTGGGTCAATTCCACCCCCTGTAGCGATGCAACCTTTGGTCCTCGCCAAGCCTCGGGACCCTGGGCCTTTCACCGGCACGGGTGAGCAAGAGGTAGAAGAATGGTTAGATCTCTACAAGAGAGTGAGCGCCCACAACCGTTGGGACAACACAATCATGCTTGCGAATATACCATTCTACTTGAAGGATACGGCTCTCGCGTGGTTCCGGACCCACGAAGAACTTACATCGTGGGATATGTGCAAATCTAAATTGGAAGACCTCTTTGGTCATCCAACCGGACGCAAGCTCACTGCAAAGAGAAAACTGGCATCAAGGGTGCAAACATCCACGGAGTCCTATGTTACGTATATCCAGGACGTCCTCGCCCTCTGCCGTAAAGCTAATCCTGAAATGCCCCAGCTTGACCGGATTGCCAATATCCTCAAGGGAATTGCGGATGATGCTTTTCAGCTCCTGATCATCAAGGACTGTACGACTGTAGAAGATGTGCTCAAGGAATGCCGTCGGTTTGAGGCGGCAAAAAGTCGTCGAATCGCACACAAGTTCGAGAGACTACCTAACACCCCTTCGACATCATCATGCGAGGATACTGATACGACGTCAACCAAAATAACAAAAATTGTTCGCCGCGAACTTGAAGCCATGATGCCGTCGGAGACCGTTGCCCCTTCTTCCGACTTGTCAACGAACGTTGTATCTATCTCCGTCGTGCAAAGCGTCGTAAGGAAAGAGTTGGACAGGCTGTATGACTCTTCTCAGCATCGATGGTGCCTTACCCCACCGGAGGCACACGCCCGTGCGGCCGACTGCTGCAGCTTCGGTTCACCAGCTGCTACACCGGGGTTTATACCACGCCGCCGTCGAGACCCTGCTGAGTGGCGCACGCCTGACAACCGTCCTATCTGCTTCAACTGCAGCAGGGCAGGCCATGTCGCTCGCTACTGCCGCAATAATTGGAGCGCACAACAACGTCCATTTTCAGCTATAAGCCGTCGCCCGTACAATGGTCAGTTTTCTTTTTCCAGTCGCCGCGATTTTCAAGACGACACACTCCATGCTCCGTCGCATAATCATCGATCGCCGTCTCCACACCGCCGCCAATCCCTGTCGCCTGTTCCCCGTCGCACTCCGTCGCCGCCCTTCACTTCAAGGCGCTCGGAAAACTAAGCCATGCAGCCTCAGGAGGTGAGGCTGCATTGCGCGGATTGCCCGAAAATCCTCTTCACAGTACTTTTGGCACCGCTCGTAACCGAATGCTCATTTATATTGACGGTATACCGACGCATGCACTTGTGGACACAGGCGCCGCTATTTTCATAATGAGGGAAGATTTCCGACGACTATTAAAAAAAGTGATGACCCCACCCGACACAAAAACTCTACGGAGCGCAGACGGTCGAATTATCTTGTCCCTCGGTATGTGCGGTGCACGCATTACGTTCGATAGCGACACGGCATTTATTCTTTTCACGGTACTGACGACCTGTCCCCACCAAATCATCCTAGGCTGGGATTTTCTTTCTTCACACGCAGCCCTTATTGACTGTGAAAAAGGAAAAATAGAACTCGGCGGCTGTGACACATGTGAACTTTCTAAACCTATGGAATATAAATTATGCTGTGCCGAAACTTTGAGAATTCCACCACTTGCCACTGTCTCTTTAGACGTGACGACTAACCTACCTGCAGAAAGTGGTGATTACGTAATTGCACCGAATATGAACATCTTGTTATCGAAACAACTCGCCCTACCCCACTCAGTCACCACCATATGCAATTGCACGGCCCATCTTTGGATAACCAATATTGGTACGTCTACTCAAACCTTAGCTAAGGATACGACCGTAGCTACGACCTTCCCAACTGACCAATGTGTTATTTCAGTTGTTTCACAGAACGACCCTCAAGCTACTACTTCGCAGCAGTTGCAGTACCCTTTCTCTTTAAAATTCACAAACATGATAGACGCCAAGTTGCACCCAGACCAAAAGCAACAACTCCACACTCTACTTTCCAAATTTCACGACATTTTCGACCTTGAGCATCGTCCTCTTGGCCGAACTGCTGCCGTTACCCATCGCATCGATACCGGTCTGGAAGTCCTCATTCATCAGCGTCCTTACCGTGTCTCTGCGAGCGAACGCCGTATTATTCAGCAAGAAGTAGACAACATGCTGTCTAAAGATATTATTCAACAGTCCTCAAGCCCTTGGTCAGCTCCAGTTGTCCTCATTAAAAAGAAAGACGGGTCTTGGCGCTTTTGCGTGGACTACCGCCGATTGAACAAAATAACTAAAAAGGACGTTTATCCCCTGCCACGAATAGATGACACCCTCGACTGCTTACATGGAGCTGAGTACTTCTCGTCCATCGACCTTCGAGCCGGCTACTGGCAGATCAACGTATATGAAGTCGATCGGGAGAAAACTGCTTTCATCACTCCCGATGGCCTTTTTGAATTTAAAGTAATGCCCTTCGGATTGTGTAACGCGCCTGCCACGTTCGAAAGGATGATGGACCGTCTGTTGAAAGGCTTAAAATGGACCATCTGCTTGTGCTACCTGGACGATGTTATTATTTTTTCGGACTCCTTTTCATCTCACCTCGAACGCTTGGCGCAAGTGCTGCAGATCTTTCGAGACGCTGGATTACAGCTCAATTCATCCAAATGTCAGTTTGGCCACCGACAAGTTAAAATTTTGGGACACCTTGTCGATAAAAATGGAATTCAACCCGACCCCGAAAAAATAAACGCTGTTCACAATTTCCCGCTACCTCAATCACCGAAAGACGTCCGAAGCTTTTTGGGCCTCTGTTCTTATTTTCGACGCTTCATTGGACAGTTTGCCCAGATCGCTCAACCTCTCACTATGCTTCTCAAGAAAAATCAGTCTTTTATCTGGCACAAAGAACAGCAGACATCTTTTGCATACTTGAAGGCAGCACTTACATCACGCCCGATCCTCGGCCATTTTGACGACTCAACATTTACAGAAATTCGTGCGGATGCCAGTGGCCATGGCATTGGAGCCGTCCTCGCGCAATATCAACACAACCAGCAGCAAGTCATTGCCTATGCCAGCAGACTGCTTTCTCCAGCGGAACGGAACTACACAATTTCAGAAAGAGAATGCCTAGCCGTCGTATGGTCAATCGCCAAATTTCGTCCATATATCTTCGGTCGCCCTTTTTGCATCGTCACCGATCACCATGCATTGTGCTGGCTCGCTTCTTTAAAAGATCCAATCGGTCGCCTCGGACGATGGGCACTCCGCCTGCAAGAATACGATTGTACTATAGTATACAAATCCGGCAAATTACACCAAGATGCCGACTGCCTATCCCGCCATCCTGTAGACCCCCGCCAGATATCAACTCTGATGCATTCGACCTTCCGGTGCTCCCCATCTCTGACCTCCTCAATCTCGCACATGAACAGCGTCTTGATCCAGTCCTCCAAGGCATCATTAACGGCATGACGGCTGGCACAAATCTTTCTTCTTGCGGCCTCTATTGTCTCCATAATCAAGTTCTTTACAGACAAAACTTTAGACCTGACGGACTACCCTGGCTCCTCGTCATCCCAAAACAACTGCAGACAAGCATCCTTCAACAATTACACGACGCCCCATCCTCTGGCCATCTAGGAGTCGTCCGGACCTATGAAAAAGTAAAACAACGGTTTTACTGGCCCGACCTCTATCGATCTGTCAAACGATACGTTTCTTCCTGCAACCTCTGCCAGCGCCGGAAAAAGCCGCCTTCCCGACCACCCGGACTCCTGCAACCACTACACCCGCCTGAAACCCCATTTCAACGCCTGGGCGTGGACCTACTCGGTCCTTTCCCTTTGTCATCGGCGAGAAACCGGTGGATAGCAGTGGCAGTCAACCATACAACTCGATACGCAGTAACGGGAGCACTTCCCACTAGCACTGCAGTCGACATTGCTCAGTTTCTTTTACAAGAAGTTATCTTAAAGCACGGAGCGCCTAGTGAGCTTCTCACCGATCGAGGACGCGGCTTTCTGTCACGAGTCGTGGAAGAAGTATTACAGTCCTGTTCTATACTTCACAAGGTGACCACCGCCTATCACCCTCAAACAAATGGATTAACTGAACGATTTAACCGGACACTCACCGACATGTTATCCATGTACGTCTCTTCAAACCACACCAACTGGGACACAGCACTGCCTTTCATAACCTTCGCTTATAACTCTTCCCGTCACGATACAACCGGCTTCACACCTTTTTACCTTCTCTTCGGCCGTGAACCCCGGTTAATGCTCGATACTCTCCTTCCTCTACAACCTGATGCTTCACTTACCGCCTACACAACAGATGCAGTCAGTCACGCCGAAGAAGCCCGGCAGTTAGCGAGAATTCATACCCTTGATTCTCAAGAACGACAGTGTGCACGTTACGATCACAGTCACAGAGTCGTTACATTCTCACCCGACGACCTTGTTTTGCTCTGGACTCCGCAACGCCGTGTCGGACTAGCCGAAAAACTCCTCCCTCGTTACACTGGGCCTTACCGCATTCACCGCAAACTAAGCGACGTCACCTACGTGATTGAAGCAATCCACCCAAACGACACCAGCCGCAACAAACAACGTCAAACCGTCCACATCCTATGCCTCAAACCATTTTTTACTCAGTGACACCACGACCACCTTCAACTCAACGACGAGGCGTCGTTTTCTACCTGGGGGGGTAGTATTACGAGGATAAAGAAGAGGTGGTCGGGCAGTGATTTGGAGGAGAGAAGAAGAGGATCGGTAGTTTTGCTTTGCTGGCAACGGATGCTGTCACCTCTATTTTCTACCATCTCAATCTCCTGTAAATAAACCCCATTTTCACCGTAACAATATGAAAACAATATGAAAGTTCACTACCTCAACTCAAAGCAATAACATAGCCAGCATTTCTTTTTTCTTTTTTTGGGCCAAGGGGGAGGGGCTGTTTAGGGAATCTGTGCTGGGATGTCCATGAATTCGGGTGCAGAGGGGGGTGGGTGGGAAAGGGGGTCAAACTGCATGTGTATATCATAGGGTAGACTGGATTTAGGGTGTGTATATGTGTGTGTAGGGGGGGGGGTCTACCGCCCTATAAGCCTCCCCCATGGATATGCCACTGGCCCAAAGTCAAAACAAGCCACATAATGTATAGCCGGATATTTACCGCAAATCGTTATGGGGTTGGCAAATAACAAGACATGCATAGAGTTCCACACATTAAAGCTATTCTCCTGTAAAATTATGGGACCCCATCCAATAGTGTGGCACAGCCCATTTAAGAAAAAGCCTATCATCATTATTGGAAAAATTACAGTCTCTAAACGGGGTGTAAATAAGTAACTACATTAGCACAGAATGTTATTCTGAGTTAACGACAGTACCCAGAATGATAGAATTACCTTCACTCGCCAAGAAACGGAACCTCTCGTCGGTCACCTTTACGGACGGAAGCGCTTCTCGCAAGAGTTTTGTTTTTTGGGGGTCAGCGTAGGCTTCATCGGTGAAGTGCTCTGAGCAGAGCCGGTGGCTCTTGTTCAGCTGCTCCCTTGACAGCCCCGCCAAGTCCTCCCGGTTTGTGTATGCCAGCCATTTGTCGCATCTGGAAAAGTGTGAAGGTATGGCATTAAAGACGCACATATTGGTACATAAAAACGCCCAGCCATCTCTAAAACAAATCACGCAAAACGACAGCACTGAAAGGGAAAAAAAATGCGCGTGCAAGAGTACAATTGCAAGGTGAAAACCGATATATGCATAGACAGAGGGTACTGTGATGTAAAAAATTGGGACGCTGTTCATTCTCTCATACCGCTCATCAAAACCAAAAGAGCGACACTGCAAATGAGAAATCAGTGCAACACGACGCAGTTGATACACGACATCACGCTGGTGTGTTGCTCATTCAGATCGACACGGGCAGGAGCGGGGACTGACCCCAGTATCCCTGGGTCCTGCAGCGTATGCTTTCCTTATACGTGATTCAAATTGCAGTGCGCTAACACACCGGACCATTGATCCCCTTCGATAGCGCTAATCAATTTAACGTTAATGCATTCTATAACTCTCCTAAAGTTTAGGGAATCTGAAACTGTGTAAGGGTCTAAAAGAAGGAAGCAGCCCCAATAATTACCTTTCGTCCTTAGGGAACCGAAACAACTTGAAAGAGCCCTTGGCACCAGAATTGGAGCACCACCGTGCCGAGCAATAGGCATGGTGACGTGTTTTCGGCATACTGGCAAACGAAATTGATTAAGAAACAACAGGCAAACGCCAAAGCGCCCGCTGCCTGAAACGAAAGTACGCGCCGCGAACCGATGCGCTCGCTCGAGCAGCCGACACCCCGGCGCGCCGATTGCGCAAGCGCGCAGGGGGAAGGGGGGGGGGGGGGGTGTTGCGCGTTATTTTTTTGCCAGAACTGGAGATTGAAGCTAACGAGAACACGCTGGAATTACATTTCCCAAGTATTTTGTCAATAAAGGCAACGTGCGCGTTATTTTGTTTACATGCCGCTACTAGAAGCTCATTACATGGCACGTAAACAGCGTCTCGGTAAGGATCATGGCCCGGGCCCGGGGGGGGGGGGGGGGGCGGCTCTGCCTTCCCGGATTTCACCAGGGGGGGGCACGAGCCCCGTTGCAGCTCAACTGCAGCTCAACTAGGCCTGAAAGAGCCTCGTATCTCAAGGCCTTCGAAACCGCCTATGAGGTACGAGGCAACCGACAGGCCTGCTCAGCCAGTTGCACTTGACAATAAAGCCGCACTGCGCAAGGAGTATTTCACTGCTGCCGACCGAATCATAAGCGAAACAAGGCAGCGCTTTCAGCAGCCTGGCATGGAGCAGCTCGTAAAACTAGAAGACATCTTAATCAGTGCCGCTGGGGGACTTCAGTTTACAGCAGATAAACTAGACGGCTTTGGGAGTGCATGAAGTCGATTTTGACCTGTGCAGACTCTCCGCGCAGTTTCTTCTCTTACCAACTCTTGTACGCAACACTGGTTCTATCACAACCCTGAACATTTTGGAGGTCCTCCAAAAGGGATCGGAAAACATTCGCCTGTTACTGGATCAGGTCGTGAGGTATGTCCAGCTTCTGTTATCCGTACCTGCATCTGCCGCTTCCGGAGAGCGCTCTTTTAGTGGCCTGCGTCGTGTAAAAACGTACTTGCGCAACCGAATGACTCACAGGAGCTTATCCCACCTTCTGATCTTGCATATGCACAAGGAAAGGACGTCGGCCCTGAATTTAGAGGACGTCGGCCCTGAATTTAGAGGACGTCATCAGGGAATTTGAGAGCAGAACAGCAGAGCGAGCAGCAACCTTTGGTCTCACCTAAGCACATTGCATGTCTAGTACAGTCCTGTGCAAAATGGCTACTGGTTGTGTAAATTACTAGGAATGTATACATGTATTGCAGTTTGTCTATTTGTATCGTGGCGTTTCACTTGTTGCCTACATGTAATACTTTTTAGCATCCGTCTATGTATAAACAGAAAATACTACCTTACCTTAATATGTATTTGTAGAACATAGTATGTCTGTTAGTGTCGTGGCGTTTCATTTGTTGCTACATGTAATCCTTTTTTTGTATCCGTGTACATATAAATAGAGAAAATACCATCTTGCCTGTATATGTATTTGTAGAGCAGAGTATGTCTCTGTATCGTGGCGTTTCATGTGTTGCCTACATGTAGTCCTTCTTTGCATTCGTGTATATATAACAGAGAAAATACTATCTTGCCTTAATATGTATTTTTAGAAGATAGCATGTCTCTTTGTATAGTGTTGTTTCATTTGCCTCGCGATTACGTGGCCGAATTGCAACATTTCAAAGGAAGATGTGTTTTGTGTCCTTTGTGATAAGATAAACAGTGTCAAAAGGAGAAGATGCAAATTCTTTTAACTTTAAAATCGTTGCACAGCTGCTTTAAACCACTAAAAAGAGGATCCACCTATCCCCGGTGTCTGTATGGCGGCGGGTGTTTGCCTACAGACGCTTTCCAAATGTCGTTCAGCTGTCCCACCCACGCTCCTTCTAGATGCTCATAGGCGTCCACAGTTTTTTTGCCTTATTTTAGCTGTGCAGACGACTTACAGTGTGTGTGGTATTCAATGAATCGAAGATGCGCGCCGAAAAAACAAGGACAAGAGACCTCTTGTCCTTGTTTTTTTGGCGCCTATCTTCGATCATGAACCAACTGGCCCAAATTGCCATCTTGACTCAATGAACCTTTTTTAGAAACATCGGTTCGAGAGTAAATGGTTCTAGTACCCTCTCTCTCTCTTCCTTCTGGTTGAGCAGAAAGGGAAGATGGTTTCTTTGTTTCTGGCCGAACCCAGGAGATAGCTGCTGCATTTTAAAAGACAGCAAAATAGTGATAATTGAAAATATTTCCTCTAATGTTGAAGGACAAGACGTTTTAACTGCTTGGCAGTTTCTGGAAATGCATGATCTATACACTGTACAGTGCCGGTCATTCAACCTTCGGATACATGCGGTGTCCTCCTAAAACCAGGATGCTCTAGTTGTAGGTTGAAGAGTCATGTGAGTTAATATGGAAGCATGCCAGGTGGAGCCACCGTCCAGCCGGTACGTAGCTGGACACACTTGGTCTTGGGTCAATGGAGCAGAAGCATACTTCATCTGCAACTTGCCTCTGTGACGAGGTTTGTTGACCTTAACGGTCTGTCCAGGAATGAATGTAGGTCCCTTGACAGTGTGTCTTCTGTCTGAGTACATCCTCATGCGTTCTTGGTATTTCTTGACTGTGTGTGGGAGCCTTCCTTGAACTCTGGGCCTTGGAAGTTGGGGTTCGGAGGTTGGACGTTCCACCCGCTTATTCGCTTGAGGATGGTACAGGGATGCCCGACATGACGGATACCATGAGTCTTCATGAATTCTGTGAATTCTTTAGAGATGAACTGGGGACCATTGTTGGCGACTATTTCTTCCGGTAAGCCTCTTGTGCAAAGACCAACTTCCGGAAGTCTATCACGAACGCAGTCGTGATGTTGTAGACACTTATGACCTCTGGCCACTTGATGTGATAGACCACAAGAGTTATAAAAAAACATTTGTTGCGTGGAGCACACCCAAACGGACCAACAATGTCCACGCCTTACTTCATCCAAGGACGGGATGGAAAGTCAACTGGCTGTAATGGCATTCAGTGTCTTCACAGGTGACAGATGGTGCAATGTTGTACATATTGTTTGATGTGGAGAAATACTTGAGGCCACCATTAGAGTTCTTTGATGAGGCCTGTGGTCCTTGCAATCCCTCGATGAGTTTCGTGCGCTATCTCGATGACCTGGTCACGCAGACTGGTCTGCGCACAACAATCTTTGCTGCTTGAAACAGCAACCCATCCAGCTGCGAGAGCTGTTCTGATGGCACAGTAGGGCTTAAACCCTACTGTGCCGTCAGCTGGCCATGTCGACGATATGTACTGCATGACTTTCGGCAGAATGGGGTCACGAGCTGTTGCATCTTGGAAGTCTCTTGGGTTCAGGGAGGCACAGACGATGGAGACTACTTCCTCAGGAAACTTCGTACCATTTTTGGTGCCCTTGACAGGCAGACCGGAAAGTGTGTCTGCAATGGTGTTGTCAGCTCCGTTGCGGTACTCCATCAGAAAGTTGTAGTTGAACAGGAGGGCTGTCCAACGGCTGATGTGTAGTGGTCAGATTCCCGTGCGCAGACATGAGGGTGACAAGTGCCTGATGGTTGGTGTAGATGGCGAACTGTCTTCTCCCGTCGTAGGTATGTCACTTCTCGCAGGACTACAGGACCACAGGATCGCCAAGGCCTCCTTTTCTCTCATGGAGTATCTCCGCTCGGCGTCTGTCAAGGAACGGCTTGCGAAGGCCACGGTCTTGAGCTTCTGCCCATGCTGTTGTTGCAGAACTGCTCCGAGGCTGCAGTTTGAAGCATCAGTCGACACGATGACTGGCAACGTCAGGTCAAACATTCTCAGGATGGGTGTTTTTTGAAGAGCAGTCTTGACCCCCCGGAAGGCTCTCTCAATGTCAGGAGTCCAAGAAAAAGAGTTGCCCTTGCGCAACAAACGACGTATCAGTTCGACCACTGTCACTCAGTGTGGTATGAACTTGCTGTAGTATTCCACTAAACCAAGGAATGCCTTGAGTTGCGTTGGATCGGGCAGTGTAGGGAAGGTCAAAGCGGCTTCTGTCTTGGACGGAAGGGGCACTACGTCTTCCGCGGGTAGACTATATGGCCCAGAAAAGACAAAGTTGGGATGCGGAAAACAGCCTTCCGGTTAAACTTCTTTCCAGCAGACTTGATCCTTCGGAAGACTTTACGCAGGTGTGCGTCATGTTCTTGAGGTGACGACCCGTAGACGACCACGTCGTCCAGGTAGAACCGTACGCCGGGGCAGTCCTAAAGGATTTTTGACATGAGTTGCTGGAATACAGCCGGCGCAGAGGCCAGGCCAAAACAAACTTGCTTGAAGCGAA